CACAGATCAGTTTCCCATATTAAAGCGTTATTTCGTAAAGCCTAAGACATTCTTAAAAAATCCTTCTAACGCCCTTCTCAGCTTTCCCTATCAAAGCCTTCTTCTATATCTCGTAAAATCTAAGGCGTACCTAAAAGATCCATCTCGGGGGCCTGATCTCGGGGGCGGTAATAATGAGGCATCCCTTTTTAGGGCATCCTATTTTCAGCCTTATGCTTCATGAGGATGGCCCTAGCAATTTTGGCTCGGGACGCATTGCGAAGGATCGTCCGGCGCGCATCGACGTGGTGATGCGTCGATCGCAACGGAAGTTTGAAGTGCGCGCGCGTCGGAAGGAAATGATCCTCAGCGCGCCGCAGAAAAAGCTAATGTCAATCGATGGGAAAGCGCGGTCACGCGCGCCGGCCGCGGCGCGGCGGCTCGATCTCGGCAGAAAAATCCGCGCCGGCGTGAACGAGCGAGATAATGCCTTTTTGCCTTTCCGAGGCGTCGCGCCGGGGGCGATTTTTTGATTAGACGCGGCGGAGCGCGGTTCTCACAGGCGAGCTAACGAGAATTTCTACATCTGGGAAACCGCCACCCGCTTTCAATGCCCCCGCGGCACCGGCAAAAACCACCGTGACTCAATGCTGCGGAGAGAAATCGGGCGACAGATCGATCGGCGCGATCGACGGGTGGTAAATCCACGGCGTCTCGATGCAGACGCGCAGACACGCTTCTTAATCTCGTCGCCACTTGCGCCCCGCTGCTTCTAAGCCCGCTGCTCTCGCTCTTTATTACCGCCGCGCTAAAACCGACCCTCCCCCGCACTCTCTCACGTCTCTCGTCCTCGTGATTCACCGACGCGCGAAAGCGAAAGCGCGCTCTATCTCATCTATCTCGTTGCGCGTAAGTGGATAACGCTCGTGACCGAGTCGGCTTTTTCGGCGGACGCGCCCTAATTGGATCACCCACGTTTCGCGGAATCACCCGCCGCCCCGCCCCGCCCCGCCGGTGCTCCGCGGAAAAAAAGGATCGCGTCGTAGGAGGTCCCGCCGGGCCGGGGATAGATTTATTAATTTCATGGAATTGTTTTTCACGTGTCCCTCTCGGGACACTGCATGTGAGAATCGCACGGGGGGGCCCCCGCGGGCCCTGATCAAGCGGAACCCCCCACAGGCCGTGCCGAATCTCGGCTTCCCGTTCTCTAAACCGTGCGCGAGAACCTCGGCTGGAGCGAGAGCGCCGCTCTCTAGGCGTCTAAGCTCGAAACTCAGCCGGCCGTCTCGTCCTTACGATATATGCGTGTCGCGCGACAGAGAAACGTCGACGTGTTGCTTTTTCTTGCGTTTCGAAGCGTGCGCCGCTCAGCCGAGCGTTCTCACGACGAGGATCCAGAAGATCGTCCGCTCCCGCGACCTCCACGGCGCGAGTATCAACGAGCGAGTACGATCGACAAGAGGGGAAATGCTCCAATTTCCGCAAGTGAATTTTCACGACGAAGAGGCACGAAGACAGAGAGAGAGAGAGAGAGAGAGAGAGAGAGAGAGAGAGAGAGAGAGAGAGAGAGAAAGACGATCATCGGTCGCTGTCTTGCGGCGCGCGGCGTCGCCCGGGTACGGCGATTTCCGGGTACGGGCCCGTCGCATCCGCGAGACACGCGCATTGTGTGGAAAAAAGGAGGAGAGGAGAAAGGTGAGAAAGAGGAACCGGCGCGCGAGGGAGCGAGAAAGAAACGCCAAATCGGTGCACCGAGCGGCGGGGTCAGGCCGGCCGTCCGGGTGGTGAATGGCAGCGTTTAAAGCGGCTTAAAGTCAGCGCCGACATATAATCGGCCCTGTCGATCTTCGGAGGGCCCCGCGCGCCATAATCCGCCGAGCGCGAGATGAACACGTTGAGGCCCCCATTCAGGCCCCGGCAGGACTCTCTCTCTCTCTCTCTCTCTCCCCCCCCTCTCTCTCTCTCCCCCCCTCTCTCTCTCTCTCTGCCGTCCCGTTGCCGATCTTGGCCGCGCGTCGGCATTGATCATTGTGTCCCACACGATACGGCCCATAATGGGCCCACGTCGCTTCCATCGTTGTCCGGTGCTGATACGAGAATAAAGACTGTCCGTGGCTCGTCGATGGGCCCGCTTCGTCGCCCTGCATCGGCCCGTCCGTCCGACGGGGTCCTACGATCGCGGCCCGGCCGCGTCTCCTCGATCCTCTCTCATTGTGATCGCGGGCGCGCGGACGACGTGCGGAACCGTACCGGCGCGCAGCGTCCGCGTGTTTCCCCGTCATCCAGTCGCGGCCCCGACGTGAATCCCCGATACACGTCCGCGCGCTCGCGCTCCAGATAAGATCGTGATCGATGGTGCGCGCGATCGATATTTCGCCCCGTGGCCGCTCTCTCTCGTCTTCTTTGTGCTCGCCCGGGAAAATTGGGCGTTTCTCCGCGCGATGTTGCGCAACCCTCCCTCGCAACCCCGCCTCGCTTAGGCACCCTTTCTTCTGTCTTCGGCCGGCGAGAGCCGCTCGCGCGAGAATAACTTGTGTAGGCTCACGGCGATGAGACACAGTGTATCATGCGAACAACGAAGAGAGAGAGAGAGAGAGAGAGAGAGAGAGAGAGAGAGAGGGCAGAAGGAGAGACGAAAGTGTCGCCCGTTGCGCTGCGGAAAAGTGAGCGTCCGCATAATGGAAGGAAAGAAAAAAGGAATTAAGGTCGCGTCTCCGTCGACGGTAATCACTGTCGCAAGAGCAAGGGCCGGGTATCTAGGCGCAAGAGGAGAAATGCGTAAGAAGCCACCACACACACACACACACATACACACGGGATGTCGGGATAATACTCATTATAGTCGAGTCGTTATTACGTACAAGTCCGGCAAGTCGGTCGGCCGGCCGGCGCAACGCGAGCCGGAAGGACGACTCCCGCGTGTCTGCTTTTCCTGCATGAATGAAATGTAATTTGAGCTTACTCAAGTACCCGTATTTTCATTCATCCCGCATTAAGGTACGAGCGGCTTCTCGTGAGTGTCTCTCTCTCTCTCTCTCTCTCTCTCTCTCTCTCTCTCTCTCTCTCTCTCTCTCTCTCTCTCTCTCTCCCTCTTGGTCTCCTCGTGCAATCGCGTGCGCGCGTCCCCATGGATGCTCCCCGTGTGGTCGATCGACCGACCGAGAGAGATCCGCTGACGTCGAGCGCGGTTCTCTGCTGCTCTCTCTCTCTCTCTCTCTCGAATTTTAGCTTCTAGTCATTATTTTCACGGCAGAAGAGAGAGAGAGAGAGAGAGAGAGAGAGAGAGCATCGTCGTCGTAGCCGCGACTTTTCCTTCGGGAAAAAGTTTTCATCTCGGATGTGAAAATGCCGATTCGACGTTCAGTGGGCTCTGGCAACCAGAAAAAAAAATATAAAAAAAAAAGGAGAAAGGAGAAGAAAAAGCGGCTATCGATTCCCAACGCTTCATTCTGCGACACATGCGTGTGTGCGTGCATGCGTGTTGGACGGCGCGGCGCCACCGTTATCATCGCGGAGCGTTGCAGAAAATTCGAGTCGCTCCTCAGATGGGAAGCCACCTAGGCGGCCTTTAATTTGACGCGACGCGTCAAGGTGACGTCGAGGTAGGGGAGCGGAGCGGCAGAGAACGCCGGGCAAGAGGGGGCGGGAAGGGGGTAAAAATCGGTGAGGAGGAATCATGGCTGGATGCACTCCCTCCCTGTGTTCACGCACTTTTACCGTCGCCAGCGGTATCGGCATTGCCCCCGCGTTTTTCGAGGGAACGACGGGCGGAGGCGGCGGACGGGGGGCAGAGGGAAGAAGAAGGGGGCAGGGGACGACCTGTTGAGCGTCGTCGTGTCGGGAGAGGAATTGCGTGTTTCGTGCGACGTATCGCATGTAACGCAGTGTGTGTATGCTGCTTGCAATGAAAAATTGCAAGCGAGGCGACGCAAGCCGCACGACGATTGCCGCGCGCGGTTGAGAAAAAGCCGACTTGCAATTCGCCGGCAAGAAACATCCGGCCACTTCCGGCTGGGCACCGCTCCTTCCGCAACGCTCGGTCGTGGTCGTACTTTTCAGCTGCGCAATACGTACGAAAAACGCAACGAAACGGGGACTCGCCGGCAGAACCCTCGTTAAAATTTCCCTCAATCTTTCCTCCTCCTCCTCCTCCTCCTCCTCTTCCTCCTCCTCCTCCTCCCCCTCCTGCCGCGCGGGTTCACGTCAAAATAGATATGCTTCGGTTTATAAGAATTACGGTTCGTAGCGTTTCTTCCACCGAAATCCCGAGACTATTTTTCAGGCAAATTCAACACACTTCAACTACCGCGTCATCTTCGTAAACGCCATACATCTCTCTCGTCGCGTTTTTACTTTCCCGCGCGAAAGTATAAATCTTTCCTTCTGTTTGCAGATGGATGTAAAAAATGAGCAAGACGGAATCGATTCGCGACTGGGTGGTTAAGCCGCGCCGCAAACTTTTGTTGCAATACAATATTGAAACAGACACAAAATTCAGCGATTGCTGAAAGTCATCGCGTGCGGGTGAAACGACGCACATAAAAGTCTCGATAAACACGTTAAAAAAAAAAAACAATGACGCAATCGCTGTACGAGAAACATCGCGTTCACGAGAAACACGCTAATGTCTTCGTAAAAAGGATCAAAGAGTTAACACGCAAATGGCGTTTGATACTTTTCGCTCCTCCCACTCTCTCTCTCTTTTTCTTTCTCGGTCTCTCTCTCCCTCTCGGAGCAATTTCTTCCGGCTGTCAACGAGTAGAAATCAAAGCAAAACAATATGCTTTCTTGATACGTGCCGCTTGCGGCGCTCCACTTTCTCTCGCGTCTCCTTCTCTAATGGCACTCATTAGGATCATTTATAATGACCAACGGCCGCGCACTTGCGGCCAACGACAAATTGCATTTTACATAACGTCCCTACCCGACACACACACACACACACACACACACACGTTCTCTCATCCTCTCGCGAGGACACGCGTCCGTATAAAAAGAGAGAGCGGCGCGGCGAGCGATCGACAGTTCGACTCGATGCGATTCCCGAAGATGGCAAAGCTCGCGATCGTCGCGATCGTCCTCCTGGCGAGCACCGGCGGCTCACTCTCTCAGAGAACAATCAGGGCTACGTCGACGAGCACAGGTGAAGGATATTTCACGTCACTCGGCTACAATTCGTAGGGAGAAACTATAACCGCGCTTGTTCCGCTTGCACTTGTAATTAACTTTTCATTGCCGAGCAACCGGCGCTCCTCAAAGTGAGAGAGAAAGAGACCGTTACATGTTTCTGTTCGATTGCAAGACGCGAACGTGGAGGCCATCAGGGACATTCTGCGGAAGGTCTCGAGCGGGGAGTCAAGCGCGAAGGACGACGCGAGCCTGATCGAGATCATCAAGGAGGAGATCGTGAAGACCGCGGAGGAGATCAAGACGCCGGAGGGATCGATCGAGGCGGCCGCCAGGAAGGCGCAGTCACTGGTCGCCGCGTTGACCTCGGCGTACACCTCGGCCATCTACAAGTCCAAATCGCCCGAGGACGGCCGAGAGAATTTCGCGCGCTTCCAGACCACCGTCCAGGCGATCGTCGACTTCATCAAGCAAGGCCAATTTCTCGCGTATGACGCGACACCCGGCAGCGCGCGATAGATACGCGCGCACGGTTCTCCGAGCTGACGAAAAAACCCCGTCCGTCCAAATGCTGTCGAATGTTATACGCGTTTACCGGCCGCCCGCGATACAAATGTACCGCGGAGAATCGATAAATATAGTTGTGAGTTAATTAGCAAAGCTCGCGCACAGTTTATTTCCTTTCGAACCAGCGCGACGCTTGCGCTTGAAATTGGGTGTTCCCTCAGGGCGAGAGAGAGAGAGAGAGAGAGAGAGAGAGAGAGAGAGAGAGAGAGAGAGAGAGAGAGAGAGAGAGAGAGAGAGAGCGAGAGAGAGAGAGAGAGAGAGAGAGAGAGAGAGTGGGAAGTAAGAATTGTTATTTCCGCGTATCCGCGGAGAAGAAAAAAACATGTTCACTTTTGTGCCGTATATTACGCCCTTCGGCGATCGTTTATATTATTTTGCCGGCAAGACGAGCACGGCGGTAACGCAGAATTATTCCTGCTGACGTACGACTCAGCCGGACGATCCATTGTAAAAGCGGCGGTGGGCTCATAATCTGGCGATGTAGGATCTTTCCAACCCGGGGCTGACCGGAACTGCGCCTATGCTCTTTCGCCGGAAGCGCCGCTGCCACATGTAGTAATATAAATTATAATGCCCTTACGGTTTTTCCTTTTGTGGATTTGCATTTAAAACACCGGAATGGCATTGTCGTCGAAATCACCGAACGCAATTTTCATGGAAATAAGAAAGCTATCCGCGCTTCCCTCCCGCCCCGACTCCCCTTTCTCTCGTCCCCCCTTTCTCTCTCTCACTCTCTCTCTCTCTCTCTCTCGTCGTTCTCCTTCCTTCCTCCGCCCCCGTCCGATATCCTGTGCCGCTTTCGTGGTTTCCTCTCTCGACCGCCCTTTTTGCCCCTCGCTCGCTCGCGAGAAGATCCGCGCGAGATGCAGAATTGAATTCGCGTCTAATCGTGCCAAGGCTGATCGGAGATCAAATCGCGGCGCGTAGTCGCTTTCACTGGCGCGCGCGCGCGGACTCATCGCGACGAATCCACCGCTTTCGGGAGAAAGGGGACTTTTCACGGGCGAAGGACGCAAATAATAATCGCTCGCAAAAGCGGCGAGCTCGCGCGCCGGCGACGAAAACAAAATGACGGCCGCGCTCGCGGCAGCCATCCATGAAAGTGGAAACCCGACTCGTGCGCGAACGCGCGGTGGATGGATGTGGGGCTGGCCTCTTTCGCACTCGCATGTAGGACGCGGAGGGAAACGCGCGCGCGGTACACATCGTCGTATTCGCGCCTGCCGCCTTCGTCCTTCCGCCCGGAGGAAGCCGCTTATCGCCGACGCGTCGTGGACCTCCGGCGCTCTTATGAAACGCCGGTTTTACGGCGCACCACGACGTGCGCGCTGGGTACACGTCTATCTATCTGTCTATCTCTAGCCGGCCGTTCCGGAGCATCCGTACGCCAGGACGACGGGACCTGCACGAGAGAGGCGAGAGCTCTCTCGCGCGCTCGCCTTGCCTCGCGCTGAAACCGTCTGAAAATACGGCCACACGGCTTTTACACGAATCGACCACGAGCTCGCTCCGACGGACGATAATATAACGCGGGAAGGATCCTTCGTTTTGTTGCGCAAAGGGGGATAATAAACATCGCCACGGCCACGGTGTGCGCTACCGACTAGATGGCCGCAACGACGAAACAATGCGGCATTGTGCGGCGGCGGCGGCGGCGGCGGCGACGGCGGCGGCGTGTTAAGTCATGAGCGGCGTTGCACGCTGCACGTGCTCGTGGCGTCCGAAGTTTCCGGATCAACCCCCGCCGTCGAGTCGCGCGAGGGTCTCTTCTCCTCGAGGCCTCGCGAGAGCTCACGGAAGAAGAGGAAGAAGAAGAAGAAGAAGAAGAAGAAGGAGAAGAAGAAGAAGAAGAAGAAGAAGAAGAAGAAGCGATCTGCCCATTAACGCGAGTCGAGCAGCGAGCTGCGGCTCTTGCGATCCCAGAATGCGCGCGCGGCCTGAGAGAGCGGATTCATCCGCGTGCGAACGACTGTACGAGCGATTACACACAGGACGAATCAAACAGTCCGAGCAACAGCGAAGCCAATGAAACGAGCCAACGGATACACACGTCGCGAGCTGCATTCATTCGAGCCGTGTCCCGGCTCCTCGGACTCTGATCGAGCCTCGAGATAGCCGGCGAGGATCAGCGCGGATGAAAAGAAACAGAGGCGAGGCAACATCAGGCCGCGGAGCGGACTGATTTCTTTGTGCAGTCGCGCGCCCGGAATAGCGGCCCGAGAGAGCGTCTTTCTTCACCTCCGCCTCCATCTCCGCTCCGCTCCGCGTAATCGCAGAATGTTGCGCGTATCGCGTTAATGTCTCGCGACCTCCCGCCGGCGGAAGATGGACGACCGCGGAGCGGCTCGGACGGTCGGTGCCCTCCTCCTCCCCTCGCGCAAATCTCGGCGCGACGGTAAACACGGGGGGCGGGGGGGGGGTACGAGGAATGCTCGAGGGGGAGAGCGCGCACGTGAGAGACTGCGTTTAGCCGCGATAGGAACCGAAAGAGCGCGCGCGCGCGCGCGCGCGGCAGGAGCAGCATTCCGCGGGGCATAACTTCAGCTGGCCCCGAGCTCACGAGGAGCGGAGACGGGTCACGACGCCATGTGTGCGGCCTACCAACCACACCCACCACCTATTTATTTATGTCTACCTCACAGGCTTTTTGCTCGTGCCGTCGAGCTTTCATTGCTACGCGCGCGAGCGCGCGCGTCGTGAACAATCGAACGGGGCCCCGCGGCCCCGCGTCCGCGAAAAGTCCCCCATCGAGCGGCGAACAAATCGCGCGACCGCGCGCCGGGCCCGATCGGAAAATCTACCACCTGCGTGCCCCGCAGTCGCGTCGTACGGTACCTAACTTCGTATCTTCGATTGCGGCACGTGGAATCGCCGGCCGGCGCGAGAGATGATTCCCGGATGCGGTGCGTATGCAAATGCGCGCGCTTTAGGGGATCCGCCCGGCCATGGCGGATTCCGAGAGTTAAATAATAGGTGTATTAACTAACAGCAATCGCGAATAACAGCCGCTCTCTCGCCGCGGCGCGGCGCGTCCAGAGACGGCCGGGGAGGTCGGACTGCGACTTGAGAGCCGTTGGGGTGATAAATAAACGCGACCGTTCTTTCTCTCTCTCTCTCTCTCTCTCTCTCTCTCTCTCTCTCTCTCTCTCTCTCTCTCTCTCTCTCTCCCCCTCCCTCCCTCTTACGATTCATTCGCCCTGATGAGCGCAGCTTTCTACGTTATCTCGATATTATTCGCCGGTGCTTTGTCTTTGTTCCTACGCTGAGAAAAACATCCGAAATATCCGATCGAATACCCGGTGTGTTTGATCGGATAACAAAATTAACAATCGGATATTTTTGATATTTTTCTCCGTGTAATTTCACTGCCACTTCACGGGCAATTTATTGAGATTATGTAAGACCGCAGAGTATGCGAGATGAGCAAGCGTCGGTCAATAAGTACGGCACATTAAGAATAATTGGGCAAGTGGAACTTGCATTGTTCATAATGTCGCGTTTGGATGCATTCCTTACAAGGAACAAGTAAAGTGATAATTGGATAGTGATAAATTGTGAATGAACGCCAACTCAAGTTTCCAGCCGGGCATCTCCATATTCTCGGCGAGCGCTCATCGGTCATTCGTTAAAACAGGAAACGACTCACGGGTGTAAAAAATGATGTTGCGCGCGCCTGAAGATTGATGCGTTACCTCGGCACTTTACTGCTACTTAATCTTTATGCTTAATTTCAATAAGCAATTACGTAGCTTACGTAACCGTAGATGAAATATATAAGATAAACAAAGACCGGACTGTTTGACGAGTTCATAGAGAGTTTTACAAGAAATTCAAGGCCGATAATCCCATAGTGAAATACAACATATCCTTTTTCGTTTCTTATGATTTTCTGTCATTGAAAAGAGACGATCAATATACACACTGCTGAGTAAAATCATGTCTTAAAAATGTCGTCTTTGACTCTTTGCGAAAATAATTGGAATAAACAGAACTTTCCTTTTGTACGTAACATCTTTTTCTATCGGCACATTCACGGATCGTCATATTTTTGATTATTCGGATAAATATCCTTGTAAGAAATCCTTGTAAGAAGTCAGTATGTACAAATTGACGGAAGCGGTCGGAAATACATAATTCATGAAACGATAGTTGGATAATGACGAGTTGTGAACGCCAACCTAAATTTCGATTCCGGCATCTCGCTCTTCTCGTTAAGGCCGTCCGTTAAAACAGGAAATCTCACATGTATGACAAATTATTTTACGCACCTGGAGATATATATATCGCTGTCCGCACCTCGGAATCCTGTTTCCTCCGTTCTGGCTTCCCGATCCAGAATCCTGCCGCCGGCATTCCGGATACTCACTCGTGGCACTGACACTCGCGTACGTACGATTCGACCGGGAAAGCACGTGTTTAACCCTTTAACGCTACTACTGGTAACCATAGTTACCAGGAACGCATTTAAGAATCTATAACTTAGTCAAAAATGGAGATACTTTCGTTTTCTTTGCACCACTGTAAAGGTGAATTCTTCTTCTAAAAAATGATATGTAGATTTGTTTAGTCTGTTTTTAGCTGAGTTTCAATGATAACATGTTTTGTCAAATTCCAAGTAGGCATAATTAGCATTGTTACTGACATCTAGAAGTGCACTATAAATGAATATTGGATATGAAGATTGGTACCTGTTATAATTTTATACATTTGGAAGCTTTCTCAGATGCAAAATGTGAAATTAAAAGAATACAGGAATTCAAAATGACGGATCCAATATGGTGGACACGAAAATCAAGAAATCAACCTTCGTTTTCGTGAAACCTGTGTGGTGACTTACAGTTTTTTATGTGGCGAAAAATGAAGGGACGATTGACTATCTAAATGGTGATCTATAAGATATTCTCTTGAAATAGCAAGCTTGACGCTCTGAATGATAAACTTCACTCACAAATATACGTAGTAAAGTCTCAGCTCAAAAATGTCAAGCTGACTATCAGAGTTATATCGTATAGATTACCCTTCATTTTTCTCTATATAGGTTGCTCATTTCGTATATGTTTTTAG